TGATGCTGGGAAAGATTGAAGGCTGGAGGAAAAGGGGATGACAGAGAGTGAGATGGTTGGATGGCATCACTGACTCAATGGACATGAGTTTGGGTAAACTCCAGGAGTTGGTGATGGACAGGGAGGCCTGGCATGCTGTGGTTAATGGGGTCACAAAGAGTCGGACACGACTGAGCGACTGAACTGAACTGAACTCTTTCAGGAGGGGCTTCCCTGGTGCCTGAGCTGGTAAAGAATCTGCCTGCAATGTGGGATGCCTGGGTTTGATCCCTGAGTTGGGAAGATCCACTGGAGGAGAGCATGGTAACCCACTCCAGTATTCTGTCCTGGAGAATCTCCATGAACGGAGGAGCCTGGTGGGGTGCAGTCCATGGAGTTGCAACAAGTCAGACATGACTGAGCGACTAAGCACAGCACAGCACACTCTTTCAGAAGACTTCTCTGATTCCCATTACCTTATCTGGGATTCCACATGGACCCTGATAACCATCACACTAGAATTATCTGTCTCTGCCTCCTCCACTGGCCCTTTGGTAATTTCCTCTCTTGGTCCACAGCCTGATGTTTGCTATCTCTCAGCAGATGTCTGTTGAATGAAGAGTAAACCATGCCTCTGAGTATTTACCTATTCACATGTTTCCACCAATGAGTGTTCATGTTTTCATAGAGAGAGTGGTTTTAATAGACAATTCAAGGTTGTTTTATTTGAAAAGGAAGTTTAACTTTTTTCACTAGAGTTTGTGACTCTACCTTTTTTAAAAAAATTAAAACAAGTACAAAAACCACTTTGTAGGGATGAACAAATCCTTCTTTTGAAGGCAGACAGTAGGCAAAGAAAGCATTGAAGGTGAAGGTGAAGTCACTTAATTTTGTCCGACTCTTTGAGACCCCATGGACTGTAGCCTACCAGGCTCTTCCATCCATGGGATTTTCCAGGCGAGAGTACTGGAGTGGGTTGCCAAGCATTAGTAATACTAAATTATGCTTCTTTACATATGTTGTCAATAGTCTGCAAGGGACAGTGCTGATATAACAGCATAGAGGTGCATAAACTATCTCCACATTTTCATGCAGGGTAACGTGGGCTTTCTTTTGCTCTTTTCTCTTACTGAAGTTATTCACTGAGAGGTGACAAGAGAGGCTGGCTAAGAATCAACCCCGTCACTGGTGAGATCTTCAGTGCGGCACCGCTGGACAGGGAAGCTGAAAGTCTGTATCGGGTACAAGTGGTGGCAACGGAAGTAGGTGAGCCGACACAAATACGTAAAAGGTAACACAAGTGATCGGGGCTACGCCCGTAGAAGTGGGAGGGAAGGCGAGGTGAGTGGGAAACCCTACTGGGTCAAATGGCCGGAACATCTGACAGTGGAGAAACGAGAAGAGTCCAAACAGGGAGGGCAGGGCTCACCCCTCCTTGGCTGTGATCCGGGTGAGAACACTTGTGCCTGCAACAGGGCTCTTTCAGGCCGGGCTGCCCCTGGAGGCTGGCAGGATTTAGGGCTGCTGCTCCCTCTGTGGGGTCCTACAGGGACCACGGCTTCTAGGAAGGTTCCTGTGCCCCCACCGAACTACCCCACCTTCCTCCAAAGTGGCTGTGGGTTTCTCCAGGGAGCGGGATCAAAGCACTGTGTAGTAATATGGAGTTATATGGTGATGGTGGTTTAGTCACTAAGTAGTGTCTGACCCTTGCGACCCATGGACTGTAGCCCGCCAGGGTCCTCTGTCCATGGAATTGTCCAGGCAAGAATACTGGAGTGGGTTGCTATTCCTTCTCCAGGGGATCTTCCCGACCCAGGAATTGAACCCAGGTCTTCTGCATTGCAGGCAGATTCTTTACCAACTGAGCTATGAGGGAAGCCCCAGAATTATATAATATATAGTAATATACCTGCCTGACTTACCAAAAAAAAAAAAAGAGAGAGAGAGAACTGAGCAAAGTATGACTAAATAAACACAGATTTAGAGCAAAGAAAGAAACTTTCAAAACATAAAGCCCAGGTTTGGGAATAGGAATAGGGAAAATTCCAGTAGGTGGGAATCATGAAAATGGTCCCCGTCTGTGAGAAGATGAAGAGGAGCAAAAGTACTGTAGTCATGTTAAACCAAAGAGGCTGGACCTGCAGATGTGTGTGCTGAATTTGAAATGGTTGCGGGTGAGCGCACGGACCTCGATGAGGTGGGTTGGGGGCGCTCTCTCTCTTGCTTCTAGTTAATGTGCTGCTAACACATACCACTATTACACTCTACACATTTAACTCTTGATTTAAAAAGCTCCTGATTTCATCAGCAGGAAGTTTCTGGTGAAGTCTTTGTGCTCTGCCTTCTGCTAAAATATACCGTGAGTTCAGCACTTCACTTTAGACATGTCCTAAAGCCTCTCACGGTTTAGAAGTGTCGGGAATCAAAAACAGGGTTCAAAACCCCGCCTGGTGTGCAGCTGTTGGCCCTCTCGTGATCCATGTCGATGAAATGACTTCAAGAACACGGTAGCTCTTCCTCCTTTGGTTAAGGAGACAGCTGACGGGAAAAGCAGGCAAATAGAATTTACTGGAATTGAAGCAGGTTGGAGTCAGAAATTGTAGAAACATCAGGGAGAATGAGAACCATGAGTGTTCCCACTATACTAACCATCTCCTTCTAAGCAACTTACCTCTCACACAACACTATGGGGAGGGATTATAATTGATCATATTTGATACAGAAACCAAGATACTGATAAGTAACTCACCAGTGATCACACAGCTACTAATTGCTCAGGCAGCAAGGTCAAAATTTTTACCATGATACCCCAGCAAATAACATTTGTACAGCTCTGTACAATTTTCTAAGAATACTACACGTTGGATCCTCATAAAGTCACATTTTATAGCTGAAGAAATGAGGCTTAGAAAAATTTAAAAATATATATTTATTCATTTATATTTGGCTGCCTCGGGTCTTAGTTGTGGCACTTGGACTTCCCTCTAGCTGTGGTGTGCAGGCTCAGCTTGGTAGTTGTGGAGTACAGATTTAGTTGCCTTGCAGCCGGTGGGATCTTAGTTCCCCGACCAGAAATCAAATCCTCACCCTCTGGGCTAGAAGGCAAAGTCTCAGCCACGGGACCACAGGGAAGTCCTGAGGCTTAGAAAACTTAACCATGCCTAAGTCAGTGATGAGGAGCAATTGAAGTTGTGGGCTCTAGAGTCAGATCTCCTGAGATGGAAGACTCTCCACTGCTGTGTGACCTTGGGCAAGTCACACAACTTCTCTGAGCTCCAGTCTTCTCAGCAATAAATGTATGCCGGTATTGTTTTGAAGTAACGTGTATAAAACATTAGCTCATAATTCTTGGGTGTGTGCGTGTGTGCTCAGTTGTGTCTGACTCTTTGCAATTCCATGGACTGTAGCCCACCAGGCTTTTTTGTCTTTGGAATTTTCCAGGCAATAATACTGGAGTGGGTTGCGATTTCCTCCTTCAGGGAATCTTCCCAACCCAGGGATCGAAACTGTGTCTCCTGCGTCTCCTACGATGGCAGGCAGATTCATAATTCTTAGTTATTTTTATTATCAAGACTTTTAAAGCAGAAAATGAAACTAGGTCTGAATTGTAAATTTTTTTTTAAGGAAAGGAAATAGCCTTTCTGATTGAGAGGAGAATGAGAGCAGACACCGTATTTCAATGATTCAATTCCTTAGGTGGATCCTCCTTGAGTTCCACGGCACAATTCCACCTGACCCTTACGGATGTGAACGACAACGCCCCACGGCTGGTCAAGGAGTACACAGGCTTGTTCTTTTGCTATCCCCTCAAAGCACCCGGAAGTCTCATTTTTGAGGCCACCGATGATGATCAACCGACATTTCGGGGTCAACACTTTACGTTTTCCCTTGGCAGCGAAAGCTTACAAAAAGACTGGGAAGTTTCCAAAATCAATGGTGAGTTGTCAAAAGAACATTGAGAAAGGCACCGTTGGGCGATGAGATGAGTTTTTAATTTGCCTTGGTGTGTGTGCAGCACTCTGCACAGAGCTTTCTTCCATGCTCCCGAAAGGAAGTTCATGCTGTGGAGATTTGCACAGGCAAGCTCCCCAGAGGGGTGAAAGCCCCCAAGGTTGGGAAAGGACAGATTGTTAATGCTCAGTGTCCCCTTTGGTGTACATGAACAGTTGGACAGTAGTTGGTGTACATGCATGGTTTTGCAATCAGAGCAGCATTGCAGAGCAACCAGTGGCAGCTGAGAAACAGATTTTGTCATGATCTTTTAAAAACAGCTTTATTGAAATATCATTGACATGCAATTAACAGCATACATTTAAAGCATACAGTTTTATAAAAGTTGACATATGTATGCGCCACTGCAGCCATCTGCACAATCAGGTAAGAACAGCTCCACCAGCTCCACCGGTTTGTTCGTAGTCTGTTGCAATCCCTATTTCCCACCCCAGGCTGTTCATCCATCCCTCAGTCAGCTCAGCTGCTCAGTCGTGTCCAACTCTGTGACCCCATGGACTGCAGCAGGCCAGGCTTTCCTGTCCATCTCCCGCGAGTAACCACTGATCTGCTTCCTGTCACTGTAAATTGGTTTGCATTTTCAAGAGTTTTATGTGGATAAAATAACAGTGTGTACTCTTTTTTGTTTGGTTAATTTCACTTAGTATACTTATTTGGAGATTTCACCGTGTTGTTGCATATTATCAGCACAGCACTTGTTTGTATTGCAGAGGAGTTTTCCATTGTATATTATGATTTATTATTCACTGACTTATTGATTATTACTTAAATTGCTTCCAGTCTTTGCCATTTCAAATAAAGCCGCTATGAACATTTGTGAAGTACTTTGTAAGAGCCTGTGCTTCCATTTGTCGTGGTTAAATACCTGGAAGTGGTCATATGGTAGCTATATGGTCAAATTTTTAAGAGGATATCAAATTGCTTCCCAAATAGTCTGTAACACTTTACATTCCCACCAGTGAATGAGAATTCTTGTTGCTTAATATTCTCAATGCTTGCTATGCTCAGTCTTTTTAATTTTAGCCATTGAAGTGGGAGTGTAGTATTTCGTTATGGTTTTAATTTACATGGCCCAAGGAAATGGCAACCCACTCCAGTGTTCTTGCCTGCAGAATCCCAGGGACAGGGGAGCCTGGTGGGCTGACGTCTATGGGGTCGCACAGAGTCGGACACGACTGAAGCGACTTAGCAGCAGCGGCAGCAATGACTGATGGTGTTGAACGGCTTTTCATAAGCTTATTTGCCATCCATATATCCTCATTGGTGTAGTGTCTGGTCAAATATTGTGCCTGCTTAAAAAATTTAGCAAAGATTTTACTTCTATTGTTGTCTTTATTTGTCAGATATATGTTTACAAATATTTCTTCCCAGGCACTGTTACATTTTTATTTTGTAACAGTACCTTTTGAAGAGCAAATTAAATGTTTCTGATGACATCTAATTTATTGATATTTTTCCCTTATAATTTGTGACTTTTTTGCATATTCTTTAAGAAGTTTTTGTCAAGGTTATTAAGTTTTCCTTATTTTTTTTTCTTCCAGAGAAAAGGAAGCTATGGTTTTAGCTTTTACAGTTAGCTGTATGATCCATTTTAAGTTAATTTTTTTGTGCACGTATGGTGAATGTCAATGTTCATTTTTTTTTAATATGGCTATCTAATTAATTAAACACTTTATTGAAAATATCCTTTTCACATTGAATTGTCTTGGCAGCTTTGTCAAAAATCAAGTGACCACATATATATAGGTCTATTTCTGGACTCTCTCTTTACTGTTTCATTGAGTTCTTTGTCTATCTTTATAGCGACACCATAATGTTTTGATAATTGCAGCTCAATAATAAGACTTGAAATCGGGTAGTGTAAATGTCCTCTCTTTGTTCTTTTTCAAGTTTATTTTGCATTTATATATAAATTTTAGAATTAAGCTTGTCTGTTTTTACCCCCAAAACCTATGTCGGTTGTGACTGAGATAGTATGAATCTGTGCCTGAATCTGGGGGAGAATTTAAATCTTAACAAAATTGAATTTCCCAATCCATGAATATGATTATGTCTCCACTTATTTAGGTCTTCCTAATTTTTCTGAGCAATGTGTTTTAATTTTCTAAGTATAGTTTTACAGAATTTCCCCTAAGCGCTTCATATTTTTATGCTGTTATAAATACTTAAAAATTTTAATTCCAGGATATAGAAATATAACTGATGATTTTCTTGTACTGATCTTGTAGCATATAATATTGCTGACCTCACTTGTAAGTTCTCTCTCCCCCTTTTCCTTACATTTTCATAGTTTTTCTACATGTTGTCTGTGAATCATAATAGCTTTATTTCCTTTCCAATCTGGATGGCTTTTTATATATTTAGCTTGCTTTCTTACTGGTCAAAATCGCCAGAACAATGTTAAATGAAGGTAGTGAGAGAAGAAACAATTTGGCTTCTGATCTCAGGGAGAAGGCATTCATGGTTTCTCACTGTTAAGTATAAAATTAGCTATAAGTTTTTGTAGATGTCCATTATCAGAGTGAGGATTTTATCTTTTATTCCTAACTTGCTGAGAGGTTGTTGTTTTTTTAAAAAATGAAGTATGATGCTAAAAATTTCAGGTGTTTTTTCTGCATCTATTTAGATGGTTGTTGGTTAATTTAGGTTTTTGTTGTTTTTGTCTGTTAGTCGGTGAAATATTTCAATCAACTTTTATATCTTAATTCAGTCTTTTCCTGAGATAAGACCTACTTGATGTGAAATATTAGCATTTTTATAACTGATTGGATTCGATTTGCTAAAATTTTAAGAATATTTCTATCTATATTCATAAGGGACATTGGCCTATATTTTTCCCTTATAGTGCCTTTGTCTGATTTTGGTATCAGAGTAGTGCTGGCTTCATAGAATGATTTAGAAAGTGTTCTACCTCTTCAGTTATCTGGAAGAATTTGTGTAAAATTGCTTTTTATTTTTTCCTTAAAGTTTGATAGAATTTACCAGTGAAGCCTTCTGGCCCAAAGTTTTCTTTGTAGGAAGTCTTAACTGCAAATTCGATTTCTTTAATAGATAAGGGACTACTCAAGTTATAGATTTATTTTTGGTTGAGCTTGCTAGTTTGTATCTTTCAAATGATTTCTCTGTTTCAATTAATTTGTCTAATTCATTGGCACAAAGTTGTTCATAATATTTTATTACTTTTAATAATTACAGAATATGTAGTGATATCACCTCATTCTAATATTGGAAAGTTTTGCCTCTATTGTGGTCCTGAACAGTCTGGCTAGAGGTTATTAATCTCACTGAATGAACTTTTGGTTTCATTGATTTTGCCTTATTTTTTGTTTTATATTTCATTGCTCGGATCTTTATTATTTCCTATATTCTTCTTATGTTGTTTTTAACTTGCTTTTTGGTTCTGCTTTGATTAAGGTGGAAGCTGAAGCAACTGAAAATTTTTTTCTTTGTTAATGTAGGCATTTGGTGTTATAATTGATCTCAGTGTCTTAGTAGCTATATTCCATAAAGTTTGATGTATTATTTTCATTCAGTTCAAAACACTTTCTAATTTCCCTTTAGAGTTCTCCTGTGACACATGGGTTATTTAGAAGTAGGCTATTTGGTTCTCATATATGTAGGGACTGACCACATCTTCCTGGTTACTGATTTCTAGTTTAATTCCATAGTGACCTGAGAACATGTGATTGGAGTACTTTTAAACTTACTCAGAGTTTTTCTTTCAGTACTTTATAGACATTTCTTCACTGTGTTCTGGATTGTGTTGGTTCTTCTTTGTTTTTTTCTCTGGATACCTTTAAATTGAGTATTATGTACCTTGGGGTAGTTGTGTTCACTTTTCTTTTTCCTGAGATTTGCTGATCTTCTTGGATCTGAGGATGTAGAGTTTTCATCAAATTTGGAAAGATGTTAGCAATTACTTCTTCAAATATGTTTTCTAATTCAGTGTTTGTGGCCACTTTATGGAACATAACTACCAGGAGTAATGACAACCTACTGCATTTAGTGTTCATTTCTACAGCGAAGTCAGGAATTGAGAATTTGTTGGATGCTTCAGCATCCTTTTTAACATTATGTGGGGTACCTGTGGAGTGGTGATACTTGTGGTAGTTTAACTCACCCTTTCATCTAACCATTCATATATGAGGCAGAGATTAGCTTTATTCCTGGTCATCCAGGGGCCCACAGTTGTGTTTTCACGTCAGTCATTTTTTTCCCCTATTCTGACAGGAACTCATGCCCACCTCTCCACCAAGCACACGAGCTTTGAGGAGAGAGTTTACAACATCCCAATCCGCATCAGTGACAGTGGCCGGCAACCCATGGAAGGGACTGTCTCTTTACCAGGTAGATATTTTGCTGCAGGCAACTTGGGATAATGTTGTCTCTCAATATGGTAATTTGTGAGAATTCTTATCTTTAATACAGGATCCTGCAGTTGCTTGCTTGAAAATTTATCTACCAAATATTATTCTGTTTCTCAGTTACTTTCTGCAAGTGTGTGGAAAATAGGTGTTTCCAGCCAGCGGCTCACATGCCTGGGATACCCCCGGTGGGCATGGCAGTTGGCATACTCCTTGCCACCTTGTTGGTCATTGGTGAGTATAGTTTCAAGGATTTCTGCCCTGGGCCTCAGAAACATGAGCTTACACGAGGGTCTGACTTCATAGGCTAAGCTGGGGCTGCTCAAATGGCAACCTGAGCAATAACCAAGAATATAGATCACCAGTAAACCATAGCCAGCCTTCCTGGTTGGGAGTTACTGCTTTGGTACTACCCTCCATCCATCACTGCCTTGCTGGTTAATTTGGGAGACACCACATATGCAGCTTTAAAGAATGAATGATTGTATCTCACTCTGAGTTGCCAAGCTTTCATGATGAAGGAGAAAGAAATGCAGCAGCTGTGCCTCTGCTATGTGTCAGGTACTGTGCCTGGTGGGAGACACGGTGACATAAACGGATCTTTCACTCACAGAGCTTAGGGTCTAGTCCGCCATTGTTGGAATAGGTAGAAGCTAGCCTTCCAGTGGAGATGCGGGCATGTCTGAAGGACCTGACACGTTGCAGAACTCCCCCTTTTGTGTTAATGTGACTGTGGACCTTGATTCTTTATTATCTCAGAATAATTCCACTGCATCGCAGGCCTCACTCTTCCTTGGCCCCTAGAGAGCAGTTTCCTGTCTTCTTTTTTGTAAACAGCTCACTGTCTACTCTAGTCTTTACCCTCTTTCAACGGTTGTTCTCAACCACAAATTAAGTATTAGAAATAGATACTTCATCAGTTCACATGCACCTGAGTGAAGAAGTTGACACAGTTTCACATCCTTTCTCTTTTAAAGGAAGAGCTGGAGTTATTCTAAGTCTTCTTCATTGTTCTCTTGGCATCTGTTCTTTTCTGCCATCGTTCGGTCTACCGCCCTGGATTCTGATTCATAGTTCTAAAAGGGATCTCATTTCCTTATACCCTTCTGTTTGTATTCCTCATTACTATGACATAGAAGGGGTTTTGTGACGTGACCATGGCCCATCCTAATCTGTGCATAGTAATAGTAGTGTTACTCACTCAGTTGTGTCCAACCCTTTGTGACCCCACAGACCATAGCCCATCAGGCTCCTCTGTTCATGAGCTTCTCCAGGCAAGAATACTGGAGTGGGTTGCCATTCACTTCTCCAGAGGATCTTCCCAACCAAAGGATCAAACCTGGGTCTCCTGCATTTAGGCAGATTCTTCACTGTCTGAGCTACAAGGAAGTCCCTAGTATGTGCATGGTGGCCATTATTTCTCTTTGACAACAGTTTGCTGCAAATCTATGCTAATTGAGCTGGCTTTTGAGGTTTACTCACTTACCAAACTCCCCTCTACGTCTATGCCTTTCCTTATTCTATTAGTCTTCTCAACTTGAAAGGATTTTTGAGCTTACATGCCATGGTTTTCTAACATGACCATTTACTCTCAAAATTTTACCACAAGTTAAAGATTGGATGAGTTTGGTGGTCTACAGATAGAAGTAATAGGATCTTGTAGTTTCATATCCTTACTTTTTTTCAAAATAGGAGGATTGAGATTATTGTAAGATTCTTAATGGGTCTCTGAGCATCCAGTCTTTTCTGCCATTATTCCTCCTGTGACCCTAATGCCAGGTTAATTTCCTAAAAACAATCTCCTTTTCCATATAGGTCTCTGGTTTGTGCTAAAACACACAATGTAATTTTGTACGAGGTCAGAGATGAGGGGAAGCAGAGAGGTTAGGTAGTCTACTCAGGCTAGAGCCATGAGGAAGGTGTGAAAGAAAATGTGATACTTGGTGAAAGTAGGCTTTAGGTATGTAGACAAATCCAAGAAAAGCTCTCTGGTTGTTCTCACTGGACTATTTCCTCCAGGGAAGGAGAAGGAGGACTGGAATCAACATCTATTGACTGTGTCCTCAGTTCAGGAGCTCTATCAGCTGCTCATACACTTAGTCTTCAGGGTAGTGCAGGCATAAAGTCCTATATCCCTTGACAGAGGCCTGGGGATAGCCATCAGCTTACATATAACTTGGGACTTGTTACACACTGACAGCAACATAAGTGATAATCGTACTTATCCAAGAAAACCCATGCCTAGAAGCCCTTAATCACCATGACAACGAAGCTTTGTTGACCCACTCACAAAGTGAAATTATATGAGTCATTTTTTCCTACCAGAGTGCTACTTTATAAATGAATGTGACAGTACATTGTAAGATTTCATCTATTTGACTCTGATTTTTCTCTTTTAGGGATAATTTTAGCAGTGGTGTTTTTCCGGATGAAGAGGGATAAAGGCCAACATAATGCTGAAAGTGCTCAGGCATCTGAAGTCAAGCCTCTGAGAAACTGAATGTGAAAAAAAATGTTTGAGTTTATGTACCAAGTGCTATTTCAGTGACACAACCATTTAATGCCATACTTTTACTTTTCACCCAACATGTGCATGGTCAGTTTTACAGAGAAACTCTCTTGTCTTTCGATATTTTATTACTTTTAGATATTTCATGTGCTATAGACATTAGAGATATTTTCCAATTTCTCATGACACTTTTCCGCTCTGCAAATGCCATAGCTATTTCTCCAAACACAAAAATGTGTGTGTTTTTCCCTCTTAGGGAATGAGGGGCTGATGAAATACTCTGTTTATTTTTGCTTCCTCAAGAGGTTTTATCAGTCACCCATCAAAGAGCTTTCAGGATCCCATTTATGCTTTTTTCTAATTCCATCCTGTGTCTCCTTCCACCATATCTCCCTTGGTATTTCACTAATGTTAAAACATTTGTTGGAGAAAAGAACAAAGCAGAGTCTCAGGAAAAAAAAATAAAAGGGCAGACCTGTCCCTCAGTTTGAACAGAAACACTTCATCGTTTGAAGAGGCCTGAGTCACAGACCCTGGTTGCAAGCACCAACCACTCACCATGTTTACTCACTACCTACCATGCTTGTGTGCTGTGCACGTTTCTTTTATGTGTATATTAATAAAGTTTTGGTTATTATATATTTAATGGTGAAGGAAAATAAGGAAGCATGAAAGATGTAGTGACAACAATCAAGAATAAACATTGGCTGTGGTTTTGTTTCTTGGATTTCTTTGGTTCTGCTTCATGGTTCTTTGCATTTCTTGAGGGAAGGACTAGATAGCAGTGGTTACCTATCATTAATCAAAATTACCTCTCATGTAGAATTAACCCATAAAGAGGGGTCCACAATGAAATAAAAATTCACTGTGCTTATGATCATGGATTGGGATGTTCAAGGCAGATACATGAGTAATTTTAAATTTTTAAATAAGAAAACCTTAGATTTGGAAGCACTTCTAGGACCTGGAGCTGTTGTCTGGCTCCCGATTGGAGTCTTTGAAATCATTCAATATTACACAACCTCTCAGAATTTTCAAGAATTTTGGGGAAAACAACTTGCATCTGAAAAGGTGCTCCTACACTGATGATTAAAGCAGGCTGTGGAATTCTGTTTTTCATAAATAACCCTCTTTGTGGGCTTTATATTTTTTTGAAAGCAAAAAAGACAAAAGAAATCATGTAAACTCTGTTTCTAAGACCTCAGTATTACTTTCTTGCATAATGTTATCCTGTGTCTCAGCACCATACTGAGCTTTTTTACCTGTTATTTTTTCACACAAGACTCATTGGAAGTCTCATGATGGGTGAGGTTCGCCCTTGTCTCACCAAATGCTGAAAGACCAAACAAAAGAAAACAAAAATCTAGGAGCGCCAAAAGCAAATCTACTGCACAAATTATACCCCAGCCTAAAGAATGGTCTAACTTCTATAGGAAATTTTCTTGTGGGTTTTTGACCAAAAGTGACTGTGATCTAGGTCACTTAAAATTGCATCCTTGTTGTTGGTCAGTCTCTCAGTTGTGCCCGACTCTTTGCGACCCCACGGACTTCAGAATGCCAGATCCCTTTGTCACTCCTGAAAGACAGGCACTTCCGTGCAGGTCTGCTCAAGGGGCTCAAGAACCTTCCTGCCTCAGTTCAGGGTTGTCCTCTCTAGACCAACTTGTATCACCTAATAGTAGACTGATCACACATAACCTTCTCATCTAAAATCACTGATTACTATTCATGCTTCTTCCCCTTGGGGGCCCTCCCTCTAAACCTTCTACTCCTTTCATGACCAAATCCTACCCATTCTTAGAGTCTTCAAGACCAATTTAAATACTGGTCCCTTTGGGAAGCCTTCTTTGAGGAAACTACAGGGACCCGGCCACCATCTCCTCTAAACCTCTACACTGTGGTGAGGAAAATGCCAGGATCTATTCCCTCTGCGGGTGAGAGTGGTTCCATTTCCACTGGAAGACATCTTCCCCTCCGCATTCTCCAGCTTTTCCACACCCCATCTGTACAGTTTGAGGCGTCAATTTCCTGTTTTTCCTCATGTCCCTAGACTCACTTCTAGAATTGTGTTGAAACTCTCAGAAAACAGCTCTCTTTAAGTACAATTTGCTAAACTAGTAGAAAATAAGCTTAGAGCATTCTCGTCACCATAAGAGGTAAGCCTGTTTCAGAGCAAGGCCCACAAGAGCTCAGAGGAGGCTTTGAAAATGCTGAGTGCCTGTTCCAGCTCTGTCTGAGGGCAGCCTTGCTCTGGACTTTGCCATCCTGTGAGGCAGTATGTTCCTTTTTACTTAAAACTCAGTGGACTTCTGCCCTGGCAAGTAGAAGACTGGATGTTTGTAACTTATTTGTGGACCTTCTGTTCCACAACTGGAGCACGTTTGACCTCCCCAACTAGTCTGGGGTTTCTCTGAATCCTTTCAGTGTCTCTCTGACAAGTCTTGGCTCATAGCAGCCCCTCCGTAAGTTTTTAAAGAATGAATATATGATCCCACTTCTGGGCATACACACCGAGGAAACCAGATCTGAAAGAGACACGTGCACCCCAATGTTCATCGCAGCACTGTTTATAATAGCCAGGACATTGAATATATGAAATACCTGATTCATTTAAGCCATTTATGCTATTGTCATTTAAGGGGCACCCATCAGACAAAATCGAAACTAATCCATTCTGTGTTTAGTTACGGTATCTTCAAGGATCCCTTAAGCTCCCACTTTACCACCCTGCTTTTCCCTACATGTAAACTAATGCACCGTTCAGACATCCTCGGAGCTGAAAGCAGTGGTGAGTGAGGCCTGTGAGTGACAAAGCCCACAAGAGTTTCTGGATGATTGACAAGCGGCTGTGAGAGAGAGAGGGTCTCAGGAGCGGGGGTGGGGTTACTCCCGGGAGAAGCTCTAAGGAAAGCCTTGGGGGTTTCTGAACCGCAGTAAATGAAGAGGCCAGATCTCGGGTGGTGGTGGTAGTGGCGATGGGCTGGGGGTGGTCCATGGTCCAGATACTCACAGGCAGGAAGCTAAGTTTACCTTGGGAGGTATCCAGGGCAAGAAGTATCCAGGGCTAGAAGGAAGGAATTTGTTTTCAAGGTTCTGTGTGATGCTATATGCATCATGGGAACTTGTTAAACTTGGAAACTTAAGAATTACCTGAAAAGAAATGATGTCTTACAATTTTATTTTTAAAATTCATTTAAACTATTTGAAAAGGTACAGTTCAGTAGCATTAAGTCCATTCACATTATTGGACAACCATCACCATCACCCATCTCTAGAACTTTTTCATGAATGTGTAGAGTTTCTAAATGAAACAATTAAACATGAACTCCTCATCCCTTCCTACCCCTAGTCCCTGGCAACAACTGTTCTGATCTTCTGTCTCCATGAATCAGGTATCATACACTATTTGTTCATCATATCAGTGTTTTCAAACAGGTTTTAAAATAGTAAGAGAGAAAAAACAGCATTCAAACCTAGGAGTTATCTTACGAGGAGACCGTCTCAAAGCTAATGCCACTTTTGATTTTGCTGCAAATGTCCTTCTACACTTAGATCTACATTTTACACATCTATGAAGATATCCATACAATGCATACACAATGCATGTGGGTTCTCCAAACACACACACAGTCTCACTGCTCCTAAATTTCTTCTCACTGAAGCCTGTATCCTTCTGGCTGAATCCCAAGACTATGGGCAGCTGTTGGATGGCCAGCTCTCTACCACAGGGGTGCTCAGTGGACACATGTTAGAATCACCTGGGGGAGTTTTTAAAAAATACTCACTCCAGAGCCCCATCCCCGAATGAGTCAGCATCTCTGGGCAGGGTGTTTAAACTTTAATATTCTGGAGAAAAAAAAAATCCCTGTGTGAGTCTAATGTGCAACCACGGCTGAAATCCCTTATTCCAGGCAATCCTCAGAGGGGTTAGCACCAGGCTGGTGTGGAATATGATCCTCTGTGAGGTCTGAATCAGCATCTTTCTTCAGAACATCAGCTTCCCAAGCCTCTCAACTTTCTGGCACCTTTAACCGTAATCAGGCCTTAATCTTATCCCAGCTGGAAACACGGACCATGACCTAGAGCTCAGGGAAGGTGGGGGAGTGGGGGTGGGTGCTGTCAAGAGAGCCATTCCTCAGCCCTCAAAGATCCTTCTGTTGAGAGAGGCCTTGTGGGTTCAGACCCAGGTCACCCTGCCGGCATTTTGGAGCCTGTGAACTCCAACCATGAAGCTGAAAAGAAAGATATGGTTTTCACCTGTGGAAGAGCAGAAATTTTGTAGACTAGAGCAAAAATTACTCTGAAAACACATATTTCTGTAAAGTGGTCTTCTTGTGCTTGGAGACTTGGTTATTTAAAGGGACATTCCTGACAGTCTTCCCTATAGCTCACATGGTAAAGAATCTGCCAGCAACACAGGAGACTGGGTTTGATCCCTAGGTCAGGAAGATCCCTTGGAGAAGGAAATGGCAGTCCACTCCAGTATTCTTGCCCGGAGAATCCCATGGACAGATGAGCCTGGCGGGCTACAGTCCATGGGATTGCAAAGAGTCGGATACGACTGAACNCCACTTGTACCTCGAGCACGGTTCAGGCACCATTCGACATGTCAAAAGGACTGTATGCTACGTGCTAGTCATGTATCAGCCATCTGGGCCCTTGGGACAAGGAAGGCTGCATCCTGACAGGGTAGATAATTCTAAAGGAGAAGGGACTGTCCTGGAACCCAGGGGTAACAATGTCCACAGCTAGGGCACAAGTCACACTTGGGGCCTCCACAAGTTACTTGTCTCCAACAGCCCTTGGTGTTTGGGGACAGAAATTAAAGCCCACCCCCCACCTTTTTACACCAGATCCTCATCCTGGGAGTGCGTGGTTGGACAGAAAGAGGAGTGAAGCCGGGCTATGGAAACAAGGGCTCCTCTGATGGGGAGAAAGAGTTCTCACTTTTTCCATTGCAACAGCTGGGCTGAGGGGTAAGTCCCGGAGTTGGAAAGCTACTCTGGAAAGGGAGGAGGGCAGACGAGAGGGAGGTGGGAATAAAAATAGCACCTGTGTGCTCGCAGCATTTTAGTTGAATTAAGCACAGGACTGGGAGGAAACAGAACCTATTTTTAGTAACCGAAGTTAAACTGAGACTTTCTGGCTCTTGGCCGAGAGAAGATCCCAGAGGCGGAATTTCCAGGGGTCTGCCACAGCCTTGGCTGGCTGCAGACACGAAGAACCGGGGAAGGTCCCCTTGGGGGGCGGGGGGGGGGGGGCTTGGGGGGGTTCCTTGCGGGTTTTGGGCTTTTTTGCGGGGTTTTCGGGGGGCTTTTTTGGGTCTCTGAAGGGGAGGCTGTCCCTGGAGTAAGCAGGCCACGCGACTCCGCGCTGGATCACTTCTTGGAGTCCCGGTTCCGGTTCCGGCTGAGCCGGAAGTCGGTCCTGGGGTAAGGCTTCCCCGGGGTGTGAGTTCTTCCCCGGTTGCTCCGCATCCTCCCAGCTCAGTTTCGGTGACCTGAAGGGTTACTTGGGCCCGTGTGTTCTCCGGGAAGGCCCTTCAGGAAGTGGAGGCTGAGAAAGAACCAGGCAAGGAGAAGTTCTGTGGGAGGCAAGGCCTGTGAGGGATGGAGGGAAGGAACCGCGAGGGTAAGGGGAGCCCGGGCTGTGGCCGACGGGTGCTGGGTGTTAAAGGAGCCAAGGAGGGCGGGAAGACCTTTAGGAGGAGCCTCAGGCCCGCTGTGCAGCTCTGAGAGCCAGGGGCCAGGCCTAGGCCGAGCTCGAAGCAAAGACTGTTGGAGAAGCCCACGTTGGGCTTCTGATCTCAGAAGCCTCTGATCTCAGAACCCCTGCTCCGCCAGGCTGCTGACTGGGGATGTGATCTGAAGGTGGAGGTGGCGATCCTCCAGCTCCTGCAGTGAGGGGGCCTCTTGAGGGAACATCTGAGCCTGCCCCCACCCTTATCCCATGGCTGTCATAGTTAGGTGACCATCTTGTCCTTTTGCTTATCCATTAGGCCAGATATTTGTCGAGTCTCCACCATGGCTAGAGGTAAAGAATCCTCCTGCCAATATAGGAGACTCAGGTTCAATCTCTGCGGAAAGATCCTCTGGAGAAATGAAATAGAATAAAATACACTCCAGTATTCTTGCCTGGAAAATCCCGTGGACGGAGGAGCCTGGGGGCTGCAGTCCATGGGGTCACAAGGAGTCCAGCACTACTTGGAGACTTAAAATAACAACAACCACATCAAGGCCTGATACTGAACTAGGCACTGGGAACACAAATCACATTAGCTAGTAATTCTACAGCATTTATCATGTGCCCTGTACTGTTCTCAACGCCTTGCAAAATATTGTCATTGGATCGTTACAACAACTGTATGAGGGAGGTACAATTATTATGTCTATTGTACAGATCAGAAACTGTAATAGAGAAAGGTGAAGTATGTAACTTGCTCAAGGTCTCATACCAAGTAAACAACCCTAGAAGTCGTAACTCTGAAGTCCATGTCCCAAACTACCATATTTCATCTAATCTAAGGAACCAGCTCTTATAAGATGCACTGTTATTTCAAGTGACACTAAGAAAGAAAGAAAGTGAAGTCGATCAGTCGTGTCTTGACTCTTTGCGACCCCATGGACTGTAGCCCACCAGGCTCCTCTGTCCATGGGATTTTTCAGGCAAGAGTACTGAAGTGGATAGCCATTTCCTTCTCCAGGGGATCTTCCGAACCCAAGGATCGAACCCAGGTCTCCTGAACTGCAGGCAGACGCTTTACTATTTGAGCCACCAGAGAAGAAAGAAAAGAGCTCTGCAGATCAACTTTGCCATTCCATTATTAGTAAGATGCATCCTCAACTGCAGAGAGGTTAAAGTGTGAAAAAGAAAGCAAGTCTTGAATTGATCATTGTTACAAAGAGGCACTGTCTCTGTTCTACGGCACAGTTGCACAAGGGAGACAACTTCAATGATTGTCGTGCAGTGAGCTGAGCATCAAGTCACACCAAGGTGGTGCACACACGGACTGCTTCGGTGGCAGAAAGGGGCGGTCTTCACTTCTATCTGAGGGTCTGGGAACCCATCGCAGAAGTGGTGCCCAGCTTTGCCTTAGGATTTCTCCAAATAGGGAAGGGAAGGATAGAATTGGGAAATCTGGGGTATTTTAAGGGCCATGGTTGCTAATAAGAATGCTATTAATAACCAGCAGTAGCTAACAATAGCTAATCGTTTAGTCTTCACCACGTGTCAGGCACCATGTTTAGGGCTTTCCATGCATAATCCCATTTAATCTTCACAGAAACCCTTTGAGAAAGCACCCTTACGAGGAAGAATCCCAAGGCTCAGGAGGTGAACAGATTCATCTCCTACAGCACAACTAATAGGTAATGTACCAGGATAAGGATCTCTGGCAGCCCAGCTCCCAACTCTCAGGTTTTAACTACACCGCAGAGCCACCTCTGGGAAGCAGGTTAGTCTTAGAACAATGTACTGTACACCAGAAATTTGCTAAGAGAGTAGAATTTCAGTGTTCTCTCTCACACACAAAAGGTAAATATGTGAGGTGATGGCTGTGTTGATTAATTAGTTCAGTGGGAAGAATTCTTTCATAACACGTACGTATATCAACTCATCACTTTGTATACTTTTAAGTCTCTTGCTGTTATTTGTCCATTGCTATATTTCTCAGTAAAATGGAAAAAAAGAAAAGAAGAGGATTGGTGATGAGACCTGCTCACCAAGATCACTCTTATCCACTGAGCTCTCCATTTCCTGGGAAAAGCACGTGTGAGGGCTAAGCATTGTCCAACCCAAGGGTTGAAGAGAGACCTTTGGCATAGCAAAGACCTAACTCTGAAGTTGGGCAGAGGATGAGTGATGGGCAGGAGGTTCTGCAAGCGTTGGTGCAAGATTGGGGGCACTCAGTCATTTCAATGAGCAAGTCTTTGCTGAAAGCTCATCTCAGGCAAAGATCTGTGCTGGGCATCCAGAGGACTTTTGAATGAAGTCGTGGACTGAGCATCAAATGTTCCTTGAATGAAATATAACATTGAATTCCTTTGCAGGCCTCTCTTATCCAACCCCTACCCGCTCTGACCTCATCTCCTGCCTCCTCCCTCTTACTCACCATGCGTTAGTCACACCGACCATCTGGCACTTCCTTGAGGGGGCAAATTCCTTCCCCTTCTGTTCCTTTACATGTGCCTCTGCCTGGAAGATTCTCCTACTTCTAACCCCCTTTTTGGTGTCTGCCCTTTTCTCTTGCTTTAGGTCTCAGTGTTAAGTTGGTCTCCTCCAAGCTGTCCTGTCTGTTATTTTTACACCTATTAATTTTCTTCTAGCACTTTCATAGTGTATATTATATCCTTTATTAGTTTGCATCTTTAGGGGCAGAAACCTTGTTCGCTGTTGTGTCCCATCACTGAGCATGGTGCTGGCATGTAGGAGAGGCTCTGTATTTGAATAAGTGAATAGCTTAACTTAGAATCTAATTATGGAGCCAAGATATACATTGATGGCAGAGAAGAGTTAGCTGCTGAACTTTCAATGAATGGAGAGAAAATGTGGGCAGAAAATGTCAAGGAGGTACAAGCATTGAACAGGGTGGGCAGAATCCAAAGACATAGGGATAACCCTGGAGAAGAACCAGCTAGGAGAGAAAATCCAGTCTGTGGGAGAACACAAAAATAGTTTTCTCTTCCCTACAGGTTTGAAGCACCTTCAGTTTCGGTACCTGCAATCTGTCTAGCTTTACTTACCCCGTGCGCCCTCCTCCTACTTACTGGAACATGAGCAAAGGCCACAGTGGCCAGTTGTCCAAACTTCCTTCCCCAGAGTGCTCTGGTGGACTCCCTTGGGGGACCAAACACAACCCTGAGATTGAACTCGCCTATGGCTCAGCTCAGGAATGAGGATGTTTGGGGGAAAACCAGCATGGATGCTGCCTCACCTCATGAAGAGTGATCCCCAGAGTCCGTGGCTCAGAGGGTAAAGAATCAGCCTGCAAAGCAGGAGACCTGGGTTCAGTCCTTGGGTGGGGAAGATCTCTTGGAGAAGGAAATGGCTACCCACTCCAGTATTCTTGCCTGGAAAATTCCATGGACAGAGGAGCCTGGTGGGCTACAATCCATGGAATTGCAAGAGTTGGACACGACTGAGCGACTAACACACAAAGTCCAGAAAGGACCTCAGATGGTCATATTTTAGAAGCCCTTCAAGGAATGTAGACACAGATATAATTCATCAATTATAGTGTCTTCAGTCAGCTATTCTCCCCCACCCCACATCGAGGTCTAATAGAGCATGTTATTTGATTCACTTGCTTAAGAGCTGTACTTGCACAACATTGAATTTCATGAATTTCCACACTGTACATTTTGAAAGTTAAGACTTGTTACCATTTTACACATGTTCTGCCTTATTCATCTTACATGTCTAGAAGGATGTCTGTAAAGCATTAAGTCTTACTTTAATTATTTATTCATGTGTTCACTTCCCCTCACCCCATCCCTATCCAGCACACACTCTGCACAACTTGAGGGCAGGAGACCAGTCTTATTATCATTGTAACTCTGCTGCCAGCAAAGAATCTTAAACAGTTTCTTGGTAAGTGTTGAATTAAACTGAAGCATTGTAAGACCTTCCAGAAGTTCAGTTCTTTTTTTTAGCAAAGTTGCCTCAATTCACCTGAGCCCAAGGTTGTTTGCCTATTAACTATATAATCCAAAATCCGTGTCCTCCTTGTCAAAGACTGTTAAAGGGCAGAGATCTCATTTTAGCTTTAACTGGTCTGTGACTTAATTTGGGAAGCCTCGCCTTACCCACGATTAGACATTATTGAACAAGAATACAGAAAAATGAACTGAAAGTTAAAAATAACTTTCTGCTATAGTGAAATAACAATTTAAAACTCTAAGCAAAACTCTTTGCCACAAACCTCAACCCAGGAATCTAGCTATTTCAGAATTTGTAGGGATTTAATTGCCACATTTCTGCCAAGGACAATACCATGCAATGGAGCTAGGAATGAAGTCATTTGGGCATGTGTTTTCTGGAACTGTGCCGAAATAGTTTTCTTCTTGACATATGCCCAGCTCTTTAAAACAGCTTAGCATTAGTAATGCTCATAGTTTCTTTATAAAATCATGTTTAAAATATAAAGGAAGCGTGGAAAGATGCTCAGAGTAAGGGAAAGGAAAGGAAAGTAAGGAGGAAAGCATTTGTTGAGGATGAGTGAACCCTCAACAAGAGTGCATGATGAAAACTGCTCTGTCAATGACAGCCTTATCCAAAGAGTCAGCCCAGTGATTGACATGACATTTGCCCCCTGAATTAGGACACTCTGAATTTAGCTAAGGATTATCTTCTTTAGGTTCATGCATTATTCAGTTAATCCACAAATGACTATTACTTTTTTTTTATTCCTAAGAAGTAGGCAGAAGCAGTGATGACAACCGTATGCCTTTGCTCATGAAGTTTCCTTCTATCAGTCATTTCACTCCACTACTGTCAAGTCTTTGGAAGGAATTTTGGATGTTCCCTGACTCCAGGTTTAAGGACTGTTCCACCAAAAGGTTATTAAGTAAATGTTTACAGTAATCTTTGCCCACCTTGGACTGTTCCTATCTCTGGTATTTCACCACGATCAGAGTCTAAGATCATTTGGCAAACATTTTAAGGAAATAAAAGGTATGAAAATCCCTTTATTGAGGTCAGAACTATGGAGTTACGGAGATACTTGGTAGACTCCCCAGCAGCTGAGAACAGTCAGCTAGAAAGTGATGCAGAAATTCATAAACCATATTAAAAGTTTTGGTGCCCTGGAAAAAGCTCTGAAATGTTCCAATCATTAAATTACTCAACTGAAATCACTTTCAGATGAGCAAATGCAGAACAAACCCAAGCTTTTAAACCACATCATATGTTCCAAAAGTAAAATGGAAAACAATAAAGCAGAGTGGTCTGTTCCTACTCCCACCTGTTTATGCAGGTGATTTCAGATTTAATACAAAGACATCTCCAGTACGTCTGCCCTCAGAGCCAAATATGTAAAAATAATAAGCTTGGGCTACTGACTCAAAGGAGTTTAATCTTTAAATGGTTCTGCCAATTAGAGTGGTTGATGTCAGGACACTTAATACGTGCTAGATTTCAGTAATGTTCATTTCAGTGATATACAAACACACGGATAAATAATATCTGTGGTGAGAATAAGGTGAAAACTCTTGGCAGAGTAAGTATCCCTATGAAAGAATAAAAACAGAGGCCAAAAAATAAGACAAAAACTTGCAGACTAAAGTGCTGACAAAAGTCAGAGAAGAAAATCATAAAAAGGAGTAAGTGGTTGACAAGCTCAACTGTAGTGAGATGCCTTGGACTGATCAGTGTCAAGCAAATTTAATAACAACCTGGTGATCTGGAAGATGATAGTTTCAATTTGCATGCAAGATAAATTAAGTAGATGTTGCCTCCAACTCCCTATGCATTCCCTGGTATCATCCCCTTAACAAGAGTGTGGGTGGGGTTTAGTGACGGAATACTAGTGAATAGAGTCTGGAAGAAGTGACGGGTGTCACTTCTGATATTAGGTAAGAGAAAGACTGTGGCTTCTCTCTTGGGCTGCCCTCTCATTCTCACTCTCTGATTTGCTTGCTCTGTGGAAGCCGGCTGCCACCCTGGAGCTGTCCTAAGGAGACAGTCATGTGACAAAAACCCTCCTGTTTCTGGGTGATAGCCAGGGTGAACCCGAGGCCTGCCAGCAGCCATGGGCATCCAAGCACATTCCTATAGTCATTTACTGTGTTAGGAACATGTATTAATAGACATGGATTGCTTTCATTTATCTCAAGAAGTACTACTGTGCTATTAATATTACTGAAAATCACATTGCAGCCATTCCCCGACCTAACAGCAAAGAGTGATGGCCCTATGGGCTTAAGGATAAACGTGCAAGATAGCCTTTCTCAATGACCGAGCAAAGAAGATAGATGTCCTTTCACATTCAATTTACTCTTTAGTCTCCTAATTCATGGTTTCACTTACCATTTCAAGGTCTGTTTAGAAAATTCCAATCTGTTTTGACTCGATAGACAAAAATAGATGACTAAGAGCCAAAACAAAATATTTCAGAAACTGTGATCTTTTAAAATAAGGTTTATTTTTAAGTCACTTTCTCTTTTGAAAAAAGATAACCTGAAGGAAAACAGTTTAACAGAACCGATTAACACAGCCATTTGGATGTGGTTATTTTGATTTAGGAAGTGTTTTGATGTAACTGTTTTGATCCCAGTATTCCGATGAAAATGAAAAATGCTGTTTATTTTTAAAAATTTCCAAGTGATATGCCCAGTAAATTAGTGGATCTTTCTGTCCTGACCCTCCCTCACCCTGGATCACTCTGATCTTAATTTCTGGGTAGTAGTTGATGATGAGATGAAACTTAGGGGTTTGGTAAAGATGACAATTTCAGAGTACTATAGAATGATATTTAAAATGTAAAATTTTAGTGGCACAATTTGGGGGGATATTCAAATAATCTGATTATCAATATGGCCATTGCAAATTGTTAAGTACTTGGAGGTATATTATTTTTGCTAATATCTCTTTGCTTATGTGACCTTACTCAAAATGTGTAATATCCACTAATACAACTTATGTAAATGTTTTCCAGATTTAAATGTAGATGGATAGCAGTTACATGAAGTGCTCTCTGGAATGCACTATAATGTAATGGTTAAGAATATAAGATAATATACTCTATAATATAGTATATAATACTATACACTATTTTAATCCTCTATAATATAATATATAATATTAGCATAAACCACTCTGTAATATAGTGGTTAAGAATTCAAGATAATATAATCCTATATTATACTAGTAGTATTGTTATCAGAAATGCGTATGTTTAAGTTGAATCTAGGAAGGCAATTCCATTGATAACATCATAAGCTGATAAAATATAGATGAGAATTATTAGGATTTCCCTGGTGGTCCAGTGGTTAAGATTCCATGCTTCCCCTGTGGGGGGACATGGTTTTGTTCCCTGGTTGGGAAGCTAAGGTCCTACAGGCTCACATGCCATGTGATGTGGCCAAAAAAAAAAAAGAACTATGTAAAGTTGTTAATATTAGGAATTTCCAAACATGGTTGCATATTAAGAACCATCTAGAAAAATTTCACCTTCCTGTGAAGCTTAAGGAGAAAAATTTCACTTTTCCTGTGAAGAGTAAGGAGGTTTGGATTTAACTTCAGACCATAAACAACTAGAAAATAGGGTAAAATAGATGAAACAGTTGTTTTCATGCATTGGACAACAGGTAGCACATTGATTCTTGAGAGAAGGAAAAGAGATAAGATGAGCCCTGTGAATCCCCCAACCTTCTGCCCACAGGCAATTTATGGATCAGTGATATGGCAGGAGGGAATCTAGAGACTTGCTGAGTTGAAGAGATAGAGACAAAGTTTGGCGGAGACGGAGGTGGCTGAGCTTATGGGACAGACTTCCAGAAAGGAGGGAGTAACACAGAAAAAGAACTTACTTGTGTAGGGATTCCTTTGAGTCTCTGCTGAGTACTATGCTGTATAAAGTGTGAAATTCCACAAGCCTGCGTACAGAATGACCAGAGTTATAAACTGAATAATTCCCAAAGCTCACACAGGGAGGGAAAAATTTGAAATCTGGTCAGTCAGTCTGATGAATCCTTTACATCATCTGCAACATTCGGTAGAGGGCCCAGAAAAATCACATCATAGTAACAGGACTCTATTACTTTGGAGTGGCTAGACTACCCTAGCTTCCCTGGTGGCGCAGCAGTGAAGAATCTGCTTGCAATGCAGAAGATGCAATAGACAGGGGTTTGATTCATGGTCAGCAAGATCCCCTGCAGAAGGAAATGGAAACCTACTCCAGTATTCTTGCCTGGAAAATCCCATGGCCTGAGGAACCTGGTGGGCTACAGTCCATCTAAGGGGTCGCAAAGAGTCGGACACAGTAGAGTACATACACACACACACACACACACACACACACACAGTTATATTAGAAAAGATGGCCAAAATTGCTGATCTAAAATCTCACCTTAAAAAACGAGATGAAGAGTAAGTTAAACCCAAAGTAAACAGAAAAAAGAAATAATAAAAAGCCAAAAACTTAAAAAAAGTAGCTAAAATCAGTTTGTGTAAAAGCTGATTCTTTGAAAAGATCACTGGTCAAAAAGGGAGAGAGACACACACACAGAGACACAGGGAGAAGACACACATTACCAACATCAGAAAGGAAGGGAGAAATATCACTGTAGATCTTGCAGACGTTAAACTGAGGTTACGGACAACTTTATGCCAGCAAACTAAAAAATTTAGACAAAATGGACAAATTCTTGAAAGACTCAAATTATCAAAACTGACTCAGGAATGAATATCTGATTCGTATGGAGTCACCCGAGCACTGATTCACTGCATGTTATTGAAAACCATTGGTTTTGATTAGATTTTATCTAAATACATCAGTGGACCAAAATTATAGAAGATTTGAGCAGGGTTGTTTGTTTTTGTTGTTTTAGACACTAGGTCGTGTCCTACTTTTTGCGAGTAGGGCTGTAGCCTACCAGGTTCCTCTGTCCATGGGTTTTCCAGGCAATAATACTGAAGTGAGTTGCCATTTCCTTCTCCAGGGGATCTTCCTGACCCAGGGATCAAACCCATGTTTCCTGAGTCTCCTGCATTGGCAGACAGATTCTTTACCTCTGAGTGAATATGGAAAGCCAGAATTAGGGTGTCCAAATAAAGTCAAACCCATTAAACAATAAAATATGCAACAGCAATTGAACACTGCACCACCAAACACATCTCCAGATAGTTTCCATGGAGTTGCTGAATGACCTGAGTCAATTGTCTAGGAGTTTTACAAACCTAGCCTTCAAGATTTAGATGTGAAGACACTGCGTTGGCTTACTTGACAGCCATTCCCAATCCCCTTCTCTCTTGCTTATTTTCTAAGCCTTCTTTGCAGCTAGATGAAGGTGGCCAAATGCACCAACCTGGCAAGAATTATAAGCAGATATCTGCTAAAGAGTGGGGGAATTACCTTGATAAAAGGTGAAAAAGTTCAGCAGCTCTCTTGCAAATAAGAAAATGGCAGGGACAGTAGTCCTAACATCTTTTAGCTGTTGAATTGGTAATGGAAATAATGGGCTTCTTATGGATTTTTTTACTATTGATATGTAAGACAAAAATCCCTCTTTATTTAAACAGTCCATATTGAGCTTTCATTTACTTGCAACTGAGCAGTCTTAACAGAAGACTTGCTGTTACTATTTAGTTGCTAAGTTGTGTCCGACTCTTTCGTGACCTGATGGACTGTAGCCTGCCAGGCTCCTCTGACCATGGAATTCCCCAGGCAAGACTCCTGGAGTGGATTGCCATTTCCTTCTCCAGGGGATCTTGCTGACCCAGGGATCAAACCCATGTCTATCGCATCTTGTGCATTGGCAGGTGGATTCTTTACTGCTGAGCCACCAAGGAAGCCCAAGAGAAGACTAGGGCACCTTTAAATACCCCCCATAACCAAGGAAACAACGAAGACAGAAGGGGACTGTCATTCAACTCTTCCCTTGATTGGCTGTAGAATCTTAGAACCATTCCTTAGCATCAGTGAGCCTGAGTTTTGACACCAGCGGATTAGCAGCAACAATAATAGCTATGTAGTAAAATCAGTGCCGAGAGAAGAAATAAACGAGAGGCTTCAGAATCCCTTTTGGCCACTGGAAAGACACTATACCAGTACAGGAAGTTTCTACACATCAGAATGGCTAA